TTTATTTTTCCTTTTCAGCGCTGAGTAGTATTCCATTGCTTGGATATACCATAGTTTATTTCCTCACCAGTTGATGGACATTTGAACTGTTTTGCATTTGATTATTTTGAATGAAATTACTGTAGATATTTGTGTATACGTTTCTGTATGAAAACAAATTTCCATTTATTGTGCATAAATACATGTGAATGGAATTTCCAGATCATACAATAAGTACATATTTAACTTTATAAGAAACTACTAAATTGTTTCCCTAAACAGCTGCACCATTTTGCCTCCCATCAGTAACGTGTGAGAGGTGCAGCTGCTCTCCATCCTCACCAGGACTTGATACTGTCATTTAAAAAAAACTTTAGCCATTCTCATAGGTGTGTAGTGGTTGTATTTTGCATTTTCCGAATAACTAATGATGCTGAGGATATTTTCTAGGCTTAATTGCCATCTACATATGTTCCTTGGTGAGCTGCCAGAACAAATCTGTTGCCATTTTTTTTTAGTTAGGTTGTTTGTTATTGGGTTTTGAGGGTTCTCTATATATTCTGAATTTATTTGTCAAATTTATGCTCTGCAAATATGTTCTCCTAGTCTGTGGCTTGTCTTCATTTCCTTAGCAGTGTCATTTACAGAGCAGGTGGCTTTAATTTTGATGAAGTCTGATTCATCAGTTTTTCTTTTCTGGATTGTGCTTTTGATATTGTGTTATCTAAAAAATTTTTGCCTAATCCAACATCACAAGGATTTTCTCTCTTATGCTTTCTTCCAATAGTTGTATTGTTTTAGGTTTTACATGTGGGTCTATGATGCATTTTGAGTTAAATTTTGTACAAGGTACAAAATTAGGTACCTAGGGTATGGGTCAAGGGTGAAGATTTGTTGTTGTTACTTTTGCATATGGATATCCAATTATCCCAGCACAATGTATTAAAAAGACTATCCTTTCTTCATTGATTTAATATTGCATCTTTGTTAATTGACTATACTTGTGTGGATCTGTGTCTAGGCTTTCTTCTCATTCCATTCGCCAATACCACCCTGTCCCGATGAGTATAGGAGATGCTTATAGATACCACCCCAAAATATGCCACTTTGGCACGAGGACTGTTCTGAGCTTAAGGCAACTGAGAAAGAGCAGATACAAGAAAAGCTCTCTGTCCTCCCCTAAAATGTGCCTGAAAACCTAAAAGCAGGACATAACTTTATGGGGTGTCTCTCCTCCCCCACCTATCAAGAAAGATAAAGGGTGAGGCAAGGTGGGTGGATTCCTTAGGGCAGGAGTTCATGGCCAGCCTAGCCAAACATACTGAAACCCCGTCTCTACTAAAAATACAAAAAACTAGCCGGGCATGATGGCAGGCGCCTATAATCCCAGCTACTCAGGAGAATCACCTGAACCCAGGCTTCACCTGAGGTGGAGGTTGCAGTGAACCGAGATGACGCCATTGCACTCCAGCCTGAGCAACGAGAGTGAAACTTCGTCTCAAAAAAATAAATAAATAAAATAAAAGTTGATCACTGAAGATAGCTTTAAATCCTTAGCAGTCTGAAGATGGCACCAGGGGAATCTACATAACAAACTCCCATTTATTTGCCTTATGAGATAGATGTTATTAACCTCATTTTTCAAGTGAAGAAACTAAGACTCAAAGAATTTAAGAAATTTGTCTAAAATAACACAGCTTATCCTTTCCAGACAGTGAATTTAAATCCATTATATCTTATCTCCAAAGTCTGTGTTTTTCTTGCTGCCCTAGACTGCCTGTGGCTCAAATCATTTTGAGCACATATCAGTCGTCTCTCAAGAGACTGCTGAGGAAGCTGCTAAAAATTAAGGCTACTCCAGTCCCCCCCAAACCAACTAAATCTGAATCTCTGGGAACAGTTCCTAAGCTCCCCATTTGATGCTGAGCTGTGGTCAGGGTTGAGAACCCTGGACTTACCATTTTCAAAAAGAAGCGTCCTTCTGCCCCCTGAGCGCAATATTCCCAGACGCCTGTTCCCTGCATTTGGAAGCAACGAGCAGGGAACGCTTTGCGGGAGACAACCCCTCCATCTGCTTTAGGCCTGGGAGGCTCAGGGCTATAAAAGGCAAAGCTTTCTCCTTCATTTATTAAATGCTCGTAAATCCAAGGAGTGTGTCGTGGTATTTTAGCATCAACTTATCACACATGTTTGTGCTGGCTTACACTTGCAATCCTGATGAAAAACAGGTGTGACTCCTCAAAGCCGCTGTTAAGGACTTAATGGGGTACACAAGGATGCTAATAAAAAGGTTTGATGAGAGGAAGGTGGCCACTTCAGAGGATATGGTGGGACTCTCATTTCTCAAGGGGATTTGGCCTGCGGGGGCACATCTCAAAACAGAAAGCAAAGTTCCTTGCATCACTGTGGGAGGGAAGAGCAACCTGGAGAGGCGCTGCCTGGAGGAGCCCGGGACTGAGACAGGGAACCCGCTTGCTAGAGCGGGTTTAGGTCCCAGCCTCAGTTACTGGCAGGACAGAACGATCGCATTTTTAGGCTAGATCTTAGCAAAGCTTCAGGATGCCTTTAGAAGCTGTCCCACCCGAGATGTGACATCTGATCTGGGTAACAGTTTCTTGCTTGAAATATCCCTATAACAAGAACCATGCTGTTGTTGTATTTCAAGCGTAGTGTTTCCCTTTATAAAGTTAACATCCACATCTTGAAAATTTAGAAGATGCAAAACACTAGTCCAACATAAAGCCAAGGCAAGTTCCACAGGACTAGGACCATGTTAGACCTGATGTCCATCACCTTATTTAATCCCCGTGAGAACTCCCATGGGGAGAAGCCTTATTTCTGTCTTCAGATGAAGACACTGAGGCTTAAGGACATACAATGCTTTGCTCAGCGCTCCCAGGGAGGCAGGTGTGCTGACCCCACAGCTATTCTCGTCCCATTACACCTCACAGCCTTCGTACATTTTGGAATATTTCCTGATATCCTTTCTTTTGTTAAGCAAGCACTTTTATTTTTGATGTGATGTTTGGATTCCATTTATTTCTTTTTGAGATGGGGGTCTCGCTAGGTTGCCAGGTAGTCCTGAACTCCTGGGCTCCAGGAATCCTCCTGCCTCAGCCTCCCGAGTAGCTGGGATTACAGGCACAAGGCACTGCACCCAGCTTCTGGATTCCATATTTTTGAGCACATGAAAAATCCAGTTTTGCTTCCAACTTTATTTTTATTTTTATTTTTTTGTGACAGAGTTTAGCTCTTGTTACCCAGGCTGGAGTGCAATGGCGCGATCTCGGCTCACCGCAACCTCCACCTCCTGGGTTCAGGCAATTCTCCTGCCTCAGCCTCCTGAGTAGCTGGGATTACAGGCACGCGCCACCATGCCCAGCTAATTTTTTGTATTTTTAGTAGAGACGGGGTTTCACCTTGTTGACCAGGATGGTCTCGATGTCTTGACCTCGTGATCCACCCGCCTCGGCCTCCCAAAGTGCTGGGATTACAGGCTCCCAGCTTTATTTTCTAGCAACTCGTGAAAGTTGTCAACGAAAGCGGAGTCACTTGTGTTAAAGATCCTGACAAATACAACCAGGAAGGCCACGAACAAGGCTTCTCCTGCACAAATACCTGGTCACAAGAACGATCACAAAAGACTGCAGAAACCAGAACCTCACATCAAGATCATCACAGCCTGCCACAAAAAAACACTTCCGTGAGGACAACTGCCCAGAAACTGCCTGTCCAACCTCGCAATGACACCAGATGCTATTGATCTTTGTAGGCAAGGATAATTATCCCAAAACAATCATGTAATCCTCCTCATTTTTCTTTGAAAAACCTTTGTCTTCCTTTACCTCTGTGAATTTCGCAGAGCTTATTATGCCATGTGTATTCCATTGCAATACCCATTCCCAGATTTTTTCTCAGAGTCTGTTATGTAGGCTGACGAACTTGGTAATAGAAATAGTTTTCCGTTTGTTTTTGGGCTTTGAGCATTCATTTGCCAGACGACACACTCTGAACACTAGGCGTTCAGGGGAGTCGCTCCCAGGTAAAGGGTTTGTCTTGGCAAACTCGACCGTTGATGAAACTTTGTTCAAAGAGCAAATTACTTGTGAAAGGGAGTCTGGTGCCGGGAGCAGAAGCTGAGATGGCAGAGTCAAGGGAAATAAAGCTCTCTCCTTTCCCACCACACACATACAACCCTATATGTAATTATATATTATTTTATATTATATGTTATATATAATATATAATATTGAGTTATAGATATATATATGTGTGTGTGTGTGTGTGTGTGTGTGTGTATATATATATATATATATATATATATATATATATATTTTGAGACAGAGTCTCACTCTGTCTCCTGTGCTGGAGTGCAGTGGTGCAATCTCAGCTCACTGCAACCTCCACCTCCTGGGTTCAAGCGATTCTCCTTCCTCATCCTCCCTAGTAGCTGGGATTACAGGCACCTGCCACCACGCTTGGTTAATATTTGTATTTTTAGTAGAGACAGGGTTTCACCATGTTGGCCAGACTGGTCTTGAATTCCTGACCTTAGGCGATCTGCCCACCTCAGCCTCCCAAAGTGGTGAGAATACGGAGCCACCATGCCCGCACAAGCTAAAATATTTCTTAGCAAACCTCCATCCTGATTGCTCATAGAAAGGGAAGCTTTTATGAAATAAGGAATTTTTTTGAGACAGGATGACATGGGAAATGAAAAGAACGCTCTTTCCACAGTGATGTATAAACCCAGGGGGAGCTGAGGGTCTGCACTGGGTTGCTGGAGGGAATGCCTCCACCCTCCCTCCACCCTGTGGACTTAGCAGGTCAAACCTGTGGGAAGCAGAGCCAACAAGACAGAGATGGGGCTTTGGGAGACAATGGCAGGGCTGCAGGAGGCCAGGCAGGCTTGGGGCTCTGCCCGCAAGTACAAGAGCAGAGACCGTGTTTGTCTTAGAACTCTACGCAGCTATGAAAATTCAGGACATTTCCTGAACCCAGATGGTAGAGGTTGGCTCACCTCTTGCATAACCTCTGTTTCAGGTTAAAGGGACAAAACCCACTTTCACATCTTTCTGGCTAAGGTCTTGCCTTGGCTCTCTTTGCTTCACAGCAGAGTCACTGACCCACACTGGAGTCTGTGGGTGGGACCACAAACAGGAACGTTCACACAACAGAACGAACATTTCTCTCTGCAAACTGGGATCCCTGCGCTCTCAATCCAAGGCCTTGCTGATGATCGCCCAGGGCTTCCGGGAGCGATTAGCCCCAACCCTCCATGAAGTGACTGTGTTTGCTTCCTTTCATATGTTGACCCCAGGCTTTTTGGCTAGCGTATCAAAGAAGAGAAATCTGAAATGGGTTTCCGAATGTTCAAAGCTCCAATTCCTGCAGAAGAGTATTTAAAACAACCCCCCCTTGGACTCTCGGAAGAAGTGGACAGCAGTATCCCCACTTAGAAACCTGCAGGTGAAGGACTGGGCGAGCCAGAGGCAACGTGTTTCTCATTAGAATTCTTGGCAAAGCGTTTTGAGGTGCATCTGGAAAAGAAATGAGAAGCAGCACTGCCAGTGAGGTTTGTTTAATAAGCCCCCTTCTCCCCTCACACGTCTGCTGGCTTTCCCGTCCGCAGGCCACCTGGGACCAGGTTTTCCAGTCCCTCTGTAGCCCCCCGCATGTGTCTGTATATAATCTGCGTATGGCGTATGAAGTGGAGAATCCAAATAAGGAAAACCCATTTCACTCTCATTTTTCTAAATGTCAAATGAAATTCTCCCTCAGACACTCTCCCTTTCACAGATGCGGTGGATAGCAAGGGGAGGAGTCCGTGGTAAGGATCCCTTTTATTAATTTGTGCAGAAGGGCAGTCTTGAAGGTGACATCTTAACCACAGCTTTTATCTGACCATCATGACATTTGCTTGCAGTAACAGATCTGCATTTTACAGATGGGGAAAACCAGTAACAACAACAACAACAAAAACAAAAACACAAAACCACACCGAACCTGCAGCCCAGAGAGAAGAGGCTTACGCAGTTTCACGATGCTGGGAGCCAGAGCTGAGATGAGGAATCCGATTCCCGTCTCCTGCTGTGTGCTGTAGCAGGGCACCCCCCCAGACCCCACCACATTCTCTTTCCGGGGTGTCCCAGGTCCTAGCATAAATGCTGCTTCTGCCCACAAACCTTCCCTGACCCAAACCCACCCTCCGGTGACGCCTCTCTGTTAGCACTCTAGGCACGTTTTCTTTGTGGCATTTATCTGATTCGAATCAGAGCTTGGGGTGATGATTTGCTTGTGTCTCCTCTCCAGCAAGACGGTCAGCTCCCGAGACAGAAACTGTGCTCTGTCTTGTTCATCACTGTATCTACACCACCCTGCACAGCACCTAGTCCATGATGGGCCCACAGAAACATATACATTGTGAATCAATGAACAAATGGATGAAAAATTGCCCACCACAGTGGTGGAGGCTGAACACAGACCAGCTTCCTTACTTCCTTGGTGAGTTAGCCAGTAAGCGATTTCCCAAGGAAATTTCCAGAGATTCTGTCATTTCTCGCTGACATTGTATAAAAACCTTTTGCTAAAAACACAAAAAATTAGCTGGGCATGGTGGCGTGTGCCTGTAATTCCAGCTACTCAGGAGGCTGAGGCAGGAGAATTGCCTGAACCCAGGAGGCGGAGGTTGCGGTGAGCCGAGATCGCGCCATTGCACTCCAGCCTGGGTAACAAGAGCGAAACTCCGTCTCAAAAAAAAACCTTTTGCTAAACATTGAGAAACTTCCTAAGAAGTGAGAGGCTGGAAGACTGAAATGTGCAGGATTTCTGCTTGTTGCTGGCCTAGGAGCGTAAAGGATGCATAGACCAGGAGTGCCGGCAGAAGTTAGTCTGTGCCCTGTGGGTGATGTCCCGCTCCCTTTACCAGCTGTGTGTTCTGGGGAATTGTCACTGCTTCCTGGGTGGCTGCATGAGGGCATGATTCGGTCTAGGTAATGGGCTAGTTCTTCCTGGCCTTGCCAACAGTCCTGCAGCCTGGGAAAGCACCAATCAAAAGGTGGTTGTGGCACATATCCTCCAGTTCATATAGGGAAACTGAGGCAAGTGGGGAGGACTGTTCTGGTGGTGGCAGAGCTGGAACCAGAATCCAGGGCTCCTGCTTCTTTGCTATTCTCCCCAGCACTGTTCCGTCAATCAGCACTTGGGATGTGCTCAGTGCTATCTCTACTGTTAGGTTGGTATAAAAGTAATTGCAGTTTTTCCTATTACTTTTAATGGCAAAAACCGCAATTTCTCACCCATCTCATAGGTTCTGAAATGGATGCAAAAAGTCTTGAAAATTAAGCACAAAAAAGTAAGTACCTGAAATGAGCATACAGCGTGGTCCCACCTTCTGGGAACTTACAGTGTTGGTGGAGAGTGGAACTAAATTCTTGAAACATTGATCAAAGAAAGATTGCAGGTCTAGGTCATTCCACGCTATGTGGTGTGCAGGACAGACTCTAGGCACTGAGAATTCTAAGAGGTCATTTGACAGCGGCGCACAACTCTACAGGTCTACCTTGAGTGTACCTGTGACAGTGGAAAAGTTCTGCACACCAGGAAATCCTGGAGGTTGCAGGGCAGCAGCGAAGGACACGGTCTTTGCAGTTAGACCTCCAGGCTCTGCCACTTTCCGCTCTGTGACCGTGGGCAGTCACTGAGCCTCTCTTGGACTTGACCTTCTCTTCTGTAAAATGAGATAAAGGTACTTCCTTTGTAGGGTTGTTGTGAGAACCACATTCCTGTAACATTTGTCAACTATTATAAGTTGATTTGCAACAAATAGCAATAATTATCATTATTAAACATAAAACTGTAAGTCTGGGCACGGCGGCTCTCGTCTGCAATCCCAGCACTTTGGAAGGCCAAAGTGAGTGGATCACGAGGTCAGGAGTTCGAGACCAGCCTGGCCAATAGGGCGAAACCTCGTCTCTACTAAAAATATAAAAATTAGCCAGGCATGGTGGCGGGCGCCTGTACTCCCAGCTACTCAGGAGGCTGAGGCAGGAGAATCACTTGAACCCAGGAGGTGGAGTTTGCAGTGAGCCAAGACTGTGCCACTGCACTCCAGCCTGGGCAGCAAAGAGCAAAACTCCATCAGATAAATAAATAGCTGTATGAAGATAAAATGGGTTATCTTCAGGAGACTGAGTCCCCAGTCACCAATGTTATTTCAACTCTGCTAGAAATTTTAGAAGAAATTCAGTTTTAGAAAGGAGTAGCTCCTAGAACCAGATGACACTTAAGGTCTTTACCAATACTGAGCACAAGATGAACTTTGAGGAAGTGAGATGGCCCTTGAGAATGCTACGTGTTGGCCAAGTGGAAGTGGGGAACGGTGTTTCCCAGAAGATGGAAACAGCATGAGCAGAGGCTTCGAGGAGGCACAGAGCTTGAAGCCATTATACGCATCTATCCAGAACTCCATCCTACTTGTGTTTTCTGAGCATGTTGCAGAGAGGACTCTTTACAGCTTGCAAAGGTCCAATCCAACTGGGGGAAACTGCAGTAACTCTGAGGTCTTCCACTTTTGTGTTTCAGAACTTCGTGAACTGTTGAGGGCGGGGCGGGGGAGGGGGGGCTGTGAATGTGACACTATTACTAAGGAGTTCTAACCACAGAGGTTCACTCCTGCTCATCAGGGTGGTTTTCTAATGGGCCTGATTTCCTTATGATCAGCTACTGAACTCAGCTGAAACAACCTTCCTCTACCCAAAACAAACAAACCAATGAGGTCATTTTACTGTCTTGCCAAGTCTGTGTGCAAGCCTCCATGCGGGGCAGCATTATTGGAGACCGAGCTGGTGAAGGAAAAACAATTCACTGGGAAGAGACTGCTTTGACATTCCCATGAATTTATAAGGTAATGTTTTAAATTAAAAATTTTTTTAGACAGAGTCTTGCTCTGTCACAAGGCTGGAGTGCAGTGTCACAATCTCAGCTCACTGCAACCTCCACCTCCTGGGTTCAAGCGATTCTCCTGCCTCAGCCTGCCAAGAAGCTGGGTCCACAGGTGCGTACCACCACGCCCAGCTAATTTTTGTATTTTTAGTAGAGATGGGGTTTCACCATGTTGGCCAGGATGGTCTCAATGTCTTGACCTTACAATCTGCCCACCTTGGCCTCCCAAAGTGCTAGGATCACAGGGGTGTGAGCCACCACACCTGGCCTATAAGGTAATTTTAAAAGTAGAAATCATAAGAGAAAACTCTGTGGTCACATTCATATACCCTAAGATCTAGCTACGTATAACTTTTATTAGCAGAATTAACAGGGGAGGGTAATGTTTCTGTATTACCCTGAAATGGAGACCTCTGCATTTCTGCTCAGGCACCCAAGAGAATGTGCTCTGGACTTTCTGCTGGAGAGGCTGAAAGTGATGATTACCGAATGTGCAAAGTTGGACTTAAAAAAAAAAACTAATTGGAAACAACCCTGGATATCTTATGCTTCCTCATTTCAATTACAATTGGCTTTATTTACAGTTCGGAGGGTCTGCAGCTGGAAGGCATGGGGGTGGGGGGCTGCTCCTGCAGGCCCAGGTGAAGGCTGTGCAGATGGCAACTGTCTCACCGCACAGACGACAGTGGTGTCTAAGAGCCCACTCGCTGCCTGCCTCGATGCCTGGGGACCTCCTGAATGAGGAGGGAAACCACACATTCCCTGTGGCATCGTATACCTTTCAGACTTGTGGTTTTAGTAGTTCTCTGCTGTGCTGAGCTTTGTGTTTTAAAGCCACTGCTGGAGGAAATCAGCTCAGCTGCTACTCCAGGGGGGAAGCCAGACAGAAGGTCACTACTTTCCTCACTGTCCACGACAGCCCTGTTCTCCAAAAATATGTGTCCTTCTACAGCAGACATACCCAAGTTTGGCCTTCAGCGATGCTCTGAGTCTGCCTTACTTGTCACCGCATCCCAAGCACAGTACCAAGTCTACAGTGAACACTCAAGATGTGTGTGTGTGGATGGACGCTTCGTGCTGAGTGTATGTTACTTGCACAACTGTCGAGAAGGTGCAATGGGTGTGGCAGGTATCTGAGAGCAAAGAAAGCTGGTGTTGATTTATGTTCGTTTATCCCACAGGGAAGCAGATTTGCTCAAAGACAAGGTACAGAAGGAGGAGGTGAGGGCTGGAGAACCAAGCATCCTCTCCCACAGGTCTTCTTCCTCCCTCATCAGCGAGCCAGAGGCCAAAGGATGGATCTCCTTTCCGGTCATTAATCTGGGAGTGTACAGTTTCCTCATTTGTCCAAAGGGGGCAACAGAACATTCCCTCCCTACCAAAGGGGGTGTTGGGGGGGATATAGGATGGGAACAAGGTGCTGCACAGATGCTGGCCTTTCCTCTGATGACAGAACCAAGCCCTCCCAAGAACTAGTGCCCAAGAGCTGCCCAGCATCCTTAGGAAACTGTATTGGGAAGGGCCAGGCAGCTAACTGTTCACCTCTCAGTGAAGGCCACCCTTCTAAGCTACCTCATTTCCCAGTGTGCTCAGCGTCCTGGACAGTAAAAACAGACTCGCCCAAAGAGGCACAAACTGAAGCAAGTTTCAGTATCAGCTGCTACCTTCTCCACAGGTGGGTCTGTCTGAGCCGGACCGTCAGGGAAGACAGCAGTGCCCTCTTTCCTTTGTAGATGAATACGTATGCTTGGATAGAAAGCAACCTTGAATACCTAGGCTTTATTTTTTTTTTTTCCAAATGAGAAAATTAGACAAAACCTTCTGGGGCCAACTTGAACATACAAACTTTTAATAATACAGATGGAAAAGTCAGCTACTACTCCTGAGATACCACTAACGATTCCTTGGCTTTCTTTTCTTAACAAATTCTGTCAAGGATCACTTTTCCAATCTAGAAATAGCATTGATTGAGTTCCTTTGAGGGTTTTGTATGTTCCCCAAATAGTATTTTGTTAGTAAAAAATAGTTATTTGAAAAAACACCCTGTCGTTAAGAGCCTAAGGCCGTTCCTTTACTGAAGAATATTTTTAGGGAAGTGGTTTATCCACAGTATCTTTAGGAAAGGTGATACTCCCTAATTACTGAAACTTGGGCCAGAGAATTTATCTTTGTGGGATATTACTGGACTATGCAAAATTGTATAAGAACTAATTTCTGGAGTTCCAGGCACAGAGGTATCTCTTTCCTTGCGTGCCACAGTTACTTATAAAGTTTTAACTTAGTCCTGGGAAGAAAAGCTCTTTTCATTGGAAAGATACAGATGGATGGAATAACAACTATAATTTCCATTTATTATGTTCTTCCTTTTATTAAATACTTATTACGTGTCAAGTGTTATGCAAAAGACTTTACATGTTTTATCTCATTTATTTTTCTACAATAGTTTTTGGAGTCCTTTACATTCATTTATTTTCAGTCCTGTTTTGCCACTAACATGTTTTAAAACTGTAAATATGTCTCGAGGTACTGCTTTATCTGCATTCTGTAAGTTTTTTTTTTTTTTAGAGTTGTTCAAACCTAAATATTTTGTATTTTTTTATTAAAACTTTCCCTTTCATCCACAGTAAATTTAGGAGTATGTTTGTTTCTAATTTAATAGCATTCTGCATAGAAAATATGATTTCTATGCTATAAATTATTTGAAGTTTCTTGGGACTCTCTTTGCTAAAATGGTTGACATGTGCTTGAAAATATATATTATTTTTTCTCTATTTTGTTGCAGGATTCCATATGTCTATATTGGATCAGGTTTGCTAAATGAGCTCATCATACCTTACATATCCTTGCTCCTTTTTTTGTCTGTTTTATCTGTCTCATCCTGATAAAGCACTTTAAAAATATTACAGTATGATAGAGATAATGTGTGAGTTATTTTAAAAACTATATTACACGGTGAATAGGAATGAATCTAACTTCTCTTTATAATTTAGTCATGTTAAGTGCATACAAATTCACAACCATTATATATTCTTAATGAGATGCTGCTTTTATAACTTTGTAATGTCCTTAATCTTAACAGTGCTTTGGTCTTGTATCTGTCTGTCCTCACGCTGGTATCTAAAACTACATGAGACTGGGAAATCTATGAAGAAAGAGGTTTAATGGACTCATAGTTATGCAAGCTGTGCAGGAAGCATGGCTGGGAGGCCTCAGGGGACTTACAATCACGGTAGAAGGCAAAGAAGGAGCAAGCATGTCTCACCTGGCAGAGCAGGAGAGAGACAGAGAGTGAAGGGAAAAGAGCAAGCATGTCTCACCATGACAGAGCAGGAGAGAGACAGAGAGTGAAGGGAAAAGGGCTGCACACTTTTAAACAACTAGATTTCATGAGAACGTATTCACTATCATGAGAACAGCAAGGGGGAAATCCACCCATAATCCAGTCACCTCCCACCAGAGCCTTCCCCCAACACTGGGAATTACATACAATCCAACATGAGATTTGGGAGGAGACAAACCATATCAGGTCTTCCATTTTATGTGGTCTGATATAAATATTGTTAGATATGTATATTAATTACATAGGGCTGCCATAACAAATTACCATAAACTGGGTGGCTTAAACTTCAAGTTTATTCTCTTGAAGTTTTAGATACTAGAAGTCTGAAATCAAGGTGGAATCAAAGCCTGAAATTGGCAGGGCCATGCTCCCTGCAAATATTCTAGGAGAGGAGGCTTTCTTGCCTCTTCTAGCACTTACTAGCCCTAGCCGTTCCTTGGCTTGTGGCAGCATACCACCAGTGCCTGTCTGCCCCATCACATGGCTGGCTTCTGTGCATCTGTGTCCTTTATCTTCTTAGAAGAACACCAGTCACACTGGCTTGAGGGTCCACCCTATTCCAACATGACCTCATCTTAATCTTATTAAATCTGCACTGACTCTGTTTCCCAATGAGGTCACGCTGTGAGGTCCTGGGGGTTAGGAATTCGACATCATCTTTTGGGGGCACACAGTTTCAACCATGTCAATATATTTCATGGTTAGCATTGGACTGGCATATCTTTTCTAACTTTTATTTCCAGTCTTTATGGTTTTGCTTCAGGTGTATGTCTTGTAAACTTGTTCATTTACTTTGTCTGACCTGAGAATGTTCCGTGTGAGAGGTAATCTGTTTACATTTATTATAACGACGTATAGTTTAACTGATTTCTGCCATATTTTCTATTTCATACCCTTTTGCTTTGCTTTTTCTCCTTTCCAGCTGTCTTAGCCTGTCACCCTGACACACACACACACACACACGGCAGACTGAAATAATGGCTTGTCTGCAGCTTGTTTATTTTAGGAAAGGATTCAAGGAATAGGAGTGGGGCAGGGGCTGGGAAGAATGAGAAAGGGATGAAGAGAAAGCTGATCGCTACCATGGGCAAATAGGGCTCAATGTCATTAGGACCCCAGATGCATCTTGGTCTTGTCCTCAGAGATGCTAATATTGGTTTTCAAATGTGGCTGTGTCATATTAATTTATGTTTCTATATCACATATAGAGCAGAGATTATTTGGAGCAGAGAGTATACACCGCAGCATGAATTTACACTTAGTATCTCGGTATGTCTGCTGTTCAGCTTCCACACCATCCTATGAGGCACTTCATCATTCCTATTTTAGAAAGGAAGAAATTGAGGCTCAGAGAGGTAAAGCAAATCGCCGTAAGTCACACAGCTAAAAAGCGATGGAGGGGCCGGGCGAGGTGGCTCACGCCTATAATCCCAGCACTTTGGGAGGCCAAGGTGGGTGGATCACGAGGTCAAGAGATCGAGACCATCCTGGCCAACATGGTGAAACCCTGTCTCTACCAAAAATACAAAAAAATTAGCTGGGCGTGGTGGCGCGCGCCTGTAATCCCAGCTACTCGGGAGGCTGAGGCAGGAGGATTGCTTGAACCCGGGAGGTGGAGGTTGCGGTGAGCCGAGATCGTGCCACTGCACTCCAGCCTGGCGCCTGGTGATGGAGTGAGACTCTGTCTCAAAAAAAAAAAAAAAAAAAAAAAGCTATGGAGCCAGAACTCAAACTCTGTTTCATCTGATTCCATCGCCATTCCTTCCAGCCTGAAGCTCTACTGCCCGTGTGGTAGAGTCGCAGCTAGTCTGGGTTTACCAGGGTTGCATTGCACCCTCGTCAGTCCTCAAATAGGGGTGCAACTCTTCCATGAAGGGGAATGAAGAGACTGAGCTACTGGACACCAAGCTGTGTGGGACTGAACCCATTCCTGTCCAAACAGGAGTTTCCCAGACAGACTCTGAGAATTACAGAAGCCAAGAGATTTCATCATCTTTATTCAAAGAAAGGGTTTGTTTTTTCTTTTGGATTTTTTTTGGGGGGGACCACAGCTCTACTCCCCGAAGACTGAGGATTACTAAGTCAGTCAGGTAATTATGGACTAAGTGTCAGCTGCGATTGAGAAATGGACCATATGTGTTTTTCCTCTGTGGCTCACTGGAAAAGAATGTGAGGGATTTCCATCTTCTTCTCCAGAGGCCTTGGTGTCTTCAAGGCTGGGCTTCTCTCGCCCTGGGAGGAAGTTCAAAGACTTTCTTTGATTTTCTAAGGGCCTGTAGACCTAACACTTATAGTTAGAGACTGCGAGGGTTGAGGAGGGGCCCCCAGGGCTGGAGGTCATTCAAGGACTGGCAGGACCCTTGGGTGTCCGGCCTCTTTCCCAGCACCCTGAGGTGCCAAGGCCTCTGGAGAGTGGCTGGTGGGGGAGATGTGCTTCTAAGGACTGAACACTTGCACTGTGGCCTTGAATTTGAACAGGATGCTGTGAGCAGCGGCCTTTTACTGGCCCACCTGACCTTGGACAATGAGCCACTGGGCAGTGACTATCACAGACCTGATGCCCCTCCCCAAGTTTCCAGGATCATGAGGGCTCTGAGTTCTGCACGGAAGGAGAGGAAGGGCCTTGAAAAGAGGCCAGGATTAAATTTCCTGAGGTCCTGGTTCTTGTGGGGTCTAAGAATGATTTAATTTGATTTAGAAATTCAAGAAATGTGTCATTTCTTGCCCGGAGCATTGTGGAACAGCTAATGCCGGTTACACTAGTGATGACCAAATCCTGCTGTAAACTGTTCTAACATATTGTGGAAAACAGGCCTCACCACCTTTTTAATCTCTTGGAAATGGCTGATTGATAACTGACACAATATAATATTCCAAGCCCCTTCTTTTGGTTAAAACAAAAATGTTTCCTCCAGCCTGGTAATGTAAATTCCAAATCACCTCCAGATGATGCTATTTAAATGCCTTCCAATTAAACCTGCACCACGTGGAGTTTCTGTGGGAAACCGTGCTGCCTCCCAGGGTATCCTGTGGTGTTTTTTAAAGGCCAGGGATCTAGAAATGCAACTCGGCCACAGAATCTTCCTCTGCATGACTCAGCCTTGGGGCTCGGGGCCCTGGACACTTGCCCAGAGCTGAACATATAACTGGAAGCACCACAGGAGGAGCGTGCGGGGAGCCAGGAAATATCTCTGGAATCTCACAACCCTTTCTCGCATACCCTTATTAGACCAAAGAGGCAGAGCCGCAGGGGCGGGGGCCACAGGGCAGAGGGCAGCACCTGTGGGGTGGCAAGGAACCTGTGTGTGTGCACACACTGTTCACATGTCATTGTGTCTCTGTGTCTACACATGTCTACGTGTGTCTGCAGATCTGTGTCAGTGTCTGTGTTTGGGTGTTTGTGTGTCTGTGTGTGTGCATCTCTGCATGTCTTTGTGTATCTTTGCATAGCTGTACATTGGGTCTCTGTGTGTCTGTATGTTTCTGTTCGTATTGCTATGTGTGTGTGTGTCTGCTCTATGTGGCTGTTTGTGTCTCTCCATGTCAGCGTGTCTGTGTCTTTGCATATCTGTACATATTTCAGGGTGGGGGATCTGTATCTCTATGTTTCTGTGTGCCTGTGTGTGTGTGTGTGTCTGTAAGCCTATGTGGATCAGTGTGTCTGTCTGTGGCCAGGAGAGGGGGCAGGAAAGCTTTTGGAGTCCTGGTTTTCTAAGAGTAGGTTGACAGTAGGGGTGGGCCAACCCTTCAGTCTAGAAGCCCCCTCTGGCTCTGGGACCTGCAGACCACCTGCAGCCCCACCTAGTGCCATCCCTGCCCCGTGTGGCTATGGCCTGAGTGGCAGGCAGGAAAGAGAGTGAGGGCTGGGCATGAACTTTGGTTAGGTTGGGAGGTGTGGAAAAGCAGCAGCAGCGAGGGTGTGTTGGGGGAGCAGACCTGCCCCCTCCTGAGAGGCTGGGGAGGCCAAGGTGGGGCAGGGCCCAAACCTCGCTCCAAAGCTCGCAACATACAACCCGGTAGTTCCCCATGGAAAAATTGTTAGGGTTTGCGAAGTACCCTCCTCCCCCAAACCGCATCTTGGCACATGCACCTATGCGAGGGCTCACACTTCTCTCTCTTCTCAACGGTGCTTTGGGAAACCCTCCTGCACCAGAGAATGTGGAACAGGGACAGCCATACTTTGAAGTCCCAGCTTTGATTGGGCACTCCTCTGAACACACACACACACACACACACACACACACACACACCCCTTAGAGCCCTT